CGGGGGGCGAGGGGGGGGCCGCCTGTGTGCTGGGGCAGAGGGGACGGAGACTCAGACATCTGGGAGCAGCCCAGAGCTTGCGGTGTGAGCCTCCTGAAGAGACGGGTCGCAGCCCGGTCACAGCGGACGACTAGGCCGAGACAAAGAGCATGGCTGGGGGAGAGGGGGTGCCTCCAGGCGGGACCGCACCTCTAGCCCCCCCATGAACCCCCCCACACACCGGAGGCAGCGGCGGGGGCCAGCCCTGCCGTTCAGAAAAGATTGGCACGTGGAGCCCTGCCGCGGTGGCTCTGACCCGCCTCACCCCAGTCCCAGAGCAGCCACTGGGAGCAGTGCCAGAGCCCCAAGGGCACAAAATTTGCGCCCCAGGTGGGGTCGCGGTGGGAGGTTTCTGAGCACGGCAGGCGCCCCAAACCACCACCACCCCCCACCCCGTGATTGAGCGCTTTGCTGGCCCACCCCTTGCCAGGCTGCTCACCACCCACGCAGCCATTCATCCATCCCTCCTCTCCATCCACTCACCCTTCTATCCACACACGTGTCGGAACCTTCCATCCATCCACGCAATAATAATGCCAGGGATCACACAGCCGTGTCAGACATGGCTCTCTCCACTTTCTCCTGCCTGCCAGTCTGTCTCGATTTTCTGGGACCCCCACCACAGCCTCTCCCCTCACAGTTCTGGCCAAAGAGGAGGCACTCACCCCACTACCTCTGCCTCGCTTGAGTTTTGTTATTGAATGACTGTCCAGATAGCCTCTCACCATCCACAAACATCCTCCCCCCCCCCCCCCCCGCAACACACACACATCCCTAGTGATGTCTCCTTACCTCCTACACACCACCCTCCTCATGGCAATTACAGCAAGGTGGGCATGGGGAGCCTTCTCCCTGCCTGGCCTGTCTGATGGTGGCAGAAATACTTCTCCCCCTACTGCTTGAGTGCCTCCTAAGCCCAGCCCTCCCTCTGGACTGGGATGGGGGTGAAGGACAGAAGGTGTCTCAAAAGAACTGCTGCGCCTCTAGGTCCTTGGCTGATGGCTGTGCAGAGCTTAATAGCAGAGGCCACTAGTTCCCCAGAGACCTGAATCATCATTCCCAAACCTACCATGGGTACTGGTACCCTGTCAACTGGGAAACAATAACAACAAAACAGATTCCTGGGCTATAGCCCAGATCTAATCAATTCATGTGTTCATAGCCTTTGCACATATTATTCCCTCTGCTTAGGAATCAACGTCTTACAGGCAGGTTTGGGAAACCACTGGTCTTGAACATCTTACCGCCTCTCCAGACTCCTTAGTGTAGCTGCCCAGGGGCTGGCTTTTACAGCTGCCCAAAGAGTAAGCCTGTCTCCGAGAAATGAACCCTAAACTTGTGGGCTGACCCTGGCTCACCTAGTAAGGATACAGTAAGAATAAAGAGGCGTACTACAGGCACCCCTTCCCAACCAGCATGCCCTGAGCAGCCCAACTCCCACTGGGGCACCCCATCTTGAAACTATAGGCTGTTTAGTCTCTGTCTTCAATTATCTGGTCTGGAACCAGGGTCACTCAGTCCTGAGGTGCTGGGTGAACCAGAAAAAGCCCACTGTGTACAGCAGTGTCCACCAAATCCCTGCTGGGGACCACCAATTCAGCTCCCCATAACCCCAGCCACATTGTCACCTGAACTTTATCCTCAGCCTGTCCCCATCACAGCCTGACTCAGCCACCTCCATGTAACGGCCTGAAAGGCCAAGACTAGCAGCAGGAGTGTAAGGATGGTAGTGTGTGCCTCCTTCCTCTGGGGCAAGGACAGGCTCCCCTCCCTGGTTTCAGAGTGATCAGAAGAAAAAAGTTCTCCCGGTAGCTGACAAAAATCCTATAGAAGCAGACCCCCCCATAACTGCTCTGACCTCACCCAGCCCCCCAATGCTCATTCAATGTCCATTGAAGTCACCAGGCACACTCTCACCTCTGGTCCTTTGCACTTACTCTTTCTTCCCCCACCATCTAATTTACATATTTATGCATTTTGTAGGCATTTCATCTGTTTGCTCATTGGTATATCCTATACCTGGGATGGTACCTGACACAAATTCAGTATTTGTTGAATGAAGGGAGGGAGGGAGGGAAAATAGAGGCTAACCCAAGTTCTCCAGCCCAGCCTAGGGTCAGGTTCTCTTCTTAGAACTAACAGTGCCTTTTGAAAACAGTGTGGGGGAGGTGAGGATGGATAACTTCAGGACAAGATCAGGTCACATATCTCATCTGAGGTCACTCAGTGAGTAGCCTTCAGGGATCCTGGATTCCAGGCCCATGTCCTATGGCTTTGGAGGAATGAGACGGTGGTAGAGTGGCTTGTCCCATAGAATAGAGCCCTTCATCTGACCCAGGGGCCATTCTGCTGTTTCTGGGAGCAGTGTGGCAGAGGGGTCCAGAGTCACATCTGCCAGAGGAGGATGGAACCCCCATAGCTGGCCCGGGTCCTTCCACAAGCTCTGACCCAAAGGGGCATCAGGATAATTCCCCAAGGGAAGGATCTTCCTATCTCTGAGAGAAGAAATCCAGGCTCAGAGCCATCAAAGGACTTGTCAAGAATACATAGCAAGACAATCTGCTGCCCACCTGACTAAGTTTCAGGAGAGGTCTTGCTCACCTCTGCCTGGCACAGTGCCAAGCTCAAAGTGCCCAATTTGTATTTAGAAAATGAATGCACGAAGTCACAGCATCAATATTCTGATGTAGGCTTGCCTGGCCACCAAATCCTTCCATATTCCATCATACCCCACTGGCCTGATCACAGGGTCATGAGGTAGCACACAGCAGGTGCCCCATAATGCTAAGGGGATGACCGGCAGAGGAAGCTGCCTAGTTGGCAGGCTCCCTGCTCTGGTCAGGGGTCTTGACTCCACCACCTACCATGACTCAGTGGGAAGAAGGACTCCCCGCCTCCTTTGGCTGGTAGGAGAGTTCAGTGGGCCAGGAGGTATTCAAAGGTCTGAACGGGCTGGATGCTTCCTGGTGAGGTGTGGTATGTTCAGGGGACCCTGGTCTGGACAGGTTGGCCTTTTGGTCTGCCTGCCACTATCTGAATAGCTGCTTTCCTCAAAGTGCATCCAGTGCCATTCCAGGGTTAAATAATCAACAGGATCTAGGGAGGGAGACTGGAGAGGAAGAGAGGGTAGAGGACTGGGAGGCCAGGCAGGATTAGGGGAGAGCAGGCAAAGGGTCAATAGGCTGCCAGATGTTGGGCTCACTAACTGGTCACCAGGGACAGAGGTTAGCCAGGGGCCACCCAGGCAGAAACAGAGGCAGAGATGAGGGCTCTGGGCTCTACCCACCAGGCCAGGCAGATACCACTGACTCAGAATCAAATTCAAGCCCATCTCGGGTCTAGTAACTGCCAGGCCCTTTTGCCCTTGGGGTGCCATCAGGCAGCAACTTCAAATCTCTGCCTGTTCCTCAGATCTGCCATCCTCTCCATTTCAGAGACAGGCTCCCTGAAGTCCAGACAAGTGACTTGCCCAAGGTCACACAACTTGAACGTAGCAGTAAGTATTCACCTGTTTTCTTGGCACCTACTGTGTTCCAGGCACTGTTCTACGTGTTGAGGATTCAGAGCAGGAATAAGACAAAGCACAAAGCTTCTGTTCTTTCTAGTTGTGAGACAGACAACAAACATAATGTATGCTTAAATTATGTAATGTGTTGCATTTAGGTGGGACTTGCCCTGTGAAAAAATAAATAAAGGCAGGGAAGGGGGCTAGCCGCATCTGGGGGAAGGCTGTGTGTTCACACTGGGTGGTCAAGGAGCTCATACTTGAAAACATTTGAGCATAGACTTTTAAAGAATAAGGTCGTGAGGCATGTGCCTGTCTGGGGGAAGCTGTACAGGCAGAAGGAAACAGCAAAGCAAGGGCCCCTGAGGCAGGAGTAAGGTGGGAGTTTTCAAGAGCAGGTAGAGGCTAGTGTGGGCGGAGCACTGGAGGGAGCAATGGTGCAAGTAGGAAGAATAGGGACAGAGGGGACAAGGTTCTCACGCAGGACCTTACACACCTGTGTAAGGACTTTGGCTTTTATAGGACTGAGATGAGTCTCTGTAGGGAGAGATGTGCTCTCCCTTTGGTTCTCACAGTATCCCCCTGGCTGCTGTGAAGAGAGAGTTGCAGGGCCAGGGCAGGAGTAGGGAGGTTGCTGGGTGAGTCCAGGCAGGTGATCACAGGGCCTGGTCAGGATGGGGGCCATGAGGAGCTGAGAGGGCCTCAGAGTCTGGATTTACGTTGGAGGCAGGGCTAACCAGATTCGTTGATGCATTGAGCCTGAGCAAGTTGCAGACTGGAACCACTACAGTCAGCCATTCATGCCAGGGGAGTGGTCTGGGCAGAGCCACTGGATGGTGAGTGGGCTAAGGCCTCAGGAAGGAACCGCTCTACCTTCTGACAGGTTAGTGGTTGTCATGCCAATCTGCTAACTAGGACTGCTAATGAAGAGACCCCACTTTTTAATGACGCACCAGGAGCAGTGACCTGCCTGTGCCAGTACCAGGTGACCTGCGAGATTACTTCCCCACTCTGTGCCTCAATTTCCCCCTTTTATGAACTCATCGGTCCTGGTCAGTAGCTGAGGGCCTTCCCTCCTCATGCTGCCTGTTCTCTCAGACCAACTGAGCAAATGCACTCCAAGAAACGACCTCTTTCGGTACCCACCAAGTGCCAGACATTGTCAGAGGCACCAGGGAGACAGCAGTGAGCAAAACAGACAAAATTCCTGCCTTCGTGGGCTGGCATGGTCATTAAGCAATCCCAGCCCTGTTCCTTTTTCTCCCCCACCAAAACCCTCTAACGCCCAGCACTTCCTGAGAGAGCTGGGTGACCATGAGAGACTGAGAGCAAAACACTTGAGATTTGTTTTTCTTTGAAAGCAAAGAACTTGGTGTTTTTGCTGGGAGGTTGGGGGTGGGGGGTAGTCAGGAGTATAAATATCCAAGTTCCCTTAAGTTTTTGAAACATTTGCAAACAGTGTGTATCCCCCCAGCCCTTCCGGATCCCCACTCCTGATGGTAGAGGCTGCAGAAAGATCTGGGACCTTTAGTTTCTGGCCAATGTTGGGGTAGAAGGGCTGCTTGGCATCCACCTATCCTGCCCTGGGGGAACATCACAATCTGCCTTTGGCTGGCCTGTGGTCCTTTGGGGCTAAGTTGGGGTCAGCCCAGTTCAGGGCCAAGGCCAGTTCTTTTTCTGCCTGGCTTTGAGCTACATGACCTTTGATCTGCTGTCTGAGACTCTGCCATATGTCTGTCTGTCCATTCTTTCTACTAGATTTTGGGAGGCCATCAGATGGGGTCACACAGCTTCAGATCCAGGCAGGGCCGACCCTCCGGCTATGGAACTCTTCCCTGGATGTGGGCTCCAGAGGAGGGACCTCCGTGGGAGGCCCCGTGCCTGTCCTATAACCCATGCAGTCTCCATCTCCTGGATGATTGGGCGACCAAGGTCAGCAGTCTGGTGAACACCATCCCTCACACCCTTTGACAGTCACCTTCCTTCCTTAGTGCCTGAGTGTATTAGAAGATGTTAAACTTGGATACCTAAACTCAGAGGAGGCAAGGTCCTGGATTCTGAGGGCTGTGGCTACAGGCAGTGCTGGGGGGTGAGGGAGGACTAGAGGGGAGAGCACCAGGGAGACTGTGAGGAAAGACACCAGGAGGTGGGGTCTCCCAACAGCCTCCTCTCAGCATGGGGAGGCATTGTCCCTGCTCTGTATGCTCTACTCTGTCCAGGGCCCAGAAAGCACTGCCCCCACTTGGTTTCTAGCTATGACCAAGGCCACACACAGCCAGTACATCTGGCCTGGCTGGGATGCTGTCAGGCCGTGGGAATAGTTCACAGAAGCCAAGCGTTTGGGTGGTATCCAGCAGAGACCACAGGTACCTTCTTGCCCCATGGGGTTTCTACCTCTCAAGCAGCTGTGGCCTAGGGCTTGAACCCGTTCCCCTTGGCCAGAGAGCCACCAAGGGGCTGGGGACAGCAAGGGGGCTAAGGTCTAACAGTCCATTGTGCCAATACTGACCCCAGTCATAGACCGACCCTTAGCCCAGTCACAGCCACATTCTGACCCTTGACCCAAGTCACAGTGTGATCCGCAAGCCCCAGCCATATATTGACCCCCACCCTCTGCCATAAATAGACTTCTGAACCCAGCAATGGTCTCTAACCACAGACCAACATCTGGCCCCTGGTATACACTGACCTTTGACCCTAGTCTGAGCCTGGACTCCAATACCAGCAGACACCTACTGTAGTGTTGATCCCATGGACACATTTCTCCAGGCCACAAGGGACCATGTGGGGAAGATGGAAGAGACTCAGCTGAGGGTCATCCCGCCCTGGAGACAACAAGCGCCATCAACCCCACACAGGGCCCATGCTGAGGCTTCAGAGCCATGTGGTGATGAAGGCGGGTCCTGAGGCCTCTGACACTTTCCCCAGGCAGAGTCCAGCGGCCCTAGTAGGCCCCCTGGACCAGTGCATGCAGGCTGGAGGTACACCCACACCCAGAGTCAGACAAACCTGCACACATATACACAAAGACATATGTGGCCTGACACATGTACGCAAACTAAAGACACACAACCAGACATGAATAGCCATGTGAACATGCATGTTCACAGACTATCCCCACCCCTAGCCCCTCCGATCCAGACCCAGGGGCTCTGGGGGTGCTCAGGAATGGAAATGACAACAGCCCCTCCTCTTCCTCTCCTGAGCAGCTGTGAAACCACCCCTTCACTGGGCCCCACTGGCTTCCTCTGCCTGCCTGGAAGGGAACTCCAAGAGAGGGTGAGTGTTACTCCCTCCCTCAAACCAGGGAAGGCATTGATGCCCCCATGTTTCAGAGAGGGCCCACCCACATCACATAGCAGAGGGGGGCAGTCAGGACATGCATAAGTACATACATACTCTGCTAGGTGGAAATTAGTGGACACAGGCGAGCAGCCACCTGCCTCCACATGTGCTTTGTTCCCTGACCCCGGAGCTCAAGGGTATGCCCTGATGGCTCAACCACTCACGTGACCCTTCTCCCAGTCCCATCCCTGCTCAGCTCACAGCTGGGCCCTCCCTGGACTTGGTGGCATCAGGAAGGATTCCCCTGACCCCCAGATGAGGACCTCTGAAGTCTTCCTGACCTTGTCCCACGTGACAGCCTGCCCAAGCTCCCTGACATGCCCTTGGGCTCTGGCACGACTTGACCAACTTCCTTCCTGCTAAGGGAGACCCAGTCCCCCTTCTCAAACTGTTAGCTACAGAACAGGATGAGGGACCTGGCTCAGCTTCTCCTGGGGCAGGGAGTACTGGGGAACATGCAACTGGGAAGCCTTTTTCAGGGGTGCCGGAATCTGCAGAGATCACCTCCGGAAGAATGGAGAAGAAACTGCTGATGGCAATGGATGGAGAAGAAACTGCTGATTAAAAAGGAGGGTCGGGTGGGAGGGATGCTCATTGTTGTGCTGTGTGAATTTTTTACCACCTGGGTGTATGAGGGGGAGCAGGGGGAGGAGGAGGGAAGGGGGAAGGGAGGAGCGGGGGTAGGAGATTATTGTTCTTGTGCTTTTCCTCCTGGTTTGGCTTCATCCCAAAATTCCCGGTGGAACCCAGGTGACTGTACTGTGCGCAGGGGAGTGGCACGCAGAGACAGACAGTGCTGACGGCCAAATACTCTTTATGGAACCCCCAGCAACCCACGGACGTAGCCCATCCTTAGCCCAGTCCAGAGACGTGGGAACAGGTTCAGAGAGCAGAAGAGAGAGGCACAGAGCCTGAGTGACTTTATGGCAGCCTGAACCCCTGCCCTGTCTCTGGAATGTCTCCAGAGCTGTTCCCAGTCACTGTTCCCTCCAGGGCCCAGTTCAGAGCAGCCTGGTGAACGTATGTGCGGAGGAGTAGAACTCCTGGCTTCAGACACCTGCCTGGGCCCGTCAGCAGAGCTACTGGGTGAGAGTCATGGCTCCCATCCATGCCGCACTCCCGAAGTCAGTGCAAGCCCAGCAGTGCTGTACCCCGGCTGTGCATCCCTGGGCGGCTCCTCACCCTCTCTGTTCTCACAGCTGAGAAGAAGATGATGCTTCCACTCCTGTTTACCTCACTGGGATGATGTGGGGAGGGCTGTTTAGGGAAAGAGTTTTCTATTCTAAGCTAATATCTCGCTCCCTAAACTTAGCAAAACACTCCTGGTTGGAGACCAGAATCTTCCCAAACTCAGCATCTGCGATGAGGCAGTTATACTCGCAGATAGGGGGACCCTTAGCTCAACAAACTGACAGGCCAAGCAAGAGTCAAGCCCAACCAAGCACAATCAGCACTTCCCTCCAGTCGTGTTTCCATGCACTTCTGTGCTGGAGAGGTTGGCTGTCGGTCAGCTGTCTGAAACAAGCTACACCATGCCCAGAATGTATGATGCGACCCAGCTGCTTCATGTGACTATTCTGAACCTCAGTTGTTTCATCTTCAAAATGGGAGCACATTAGGGCTGGGTGGTATTGAGGATTAATAGACATTAGTAGGTGAAAGCCACTATGAGGACTGTCGCCATGTCATGAGCCTTTGATAAATGCTCGCTCTGATGATCATTATTCCTTCCAGGTCTTTGAGGAGATTTGAGTTTTCCATCTCTGGGATAAATAACAAAGAACAATTTCGGGTGGCGATCTGGACATTTAATTAGAAAAAGCTACTTGGTTGGAACAAAGACCACCCACGCTTTGTCCAAGTGCCATTGACCACCAACCAATGCTCCGGGCTACTAGTCCCCAGATCCCTTTACCACCTCCCAAAGGCCAGGTGGTATGGGTGATGGGCTGAGAGGGCCCCAGGAGCCCCTTGCTGCAGACGCCAAAACTGGGGCTCAAAGAGGGAGCTGAGGAAGGGTAGAGGCAACGGAAGACAGATTTCACCTCCATATAAGGAAGAGCTTGCTAACAGGCAGAGCTGCCCAGAAATGGAATGAGAGAGCTGCCTTGGGAGGTGGTGAGCGACCTGTGGCTGAAGGCGTGCAAGCAGAGAAAGGTGGTCTCCGGGTGCAGACGTCACGCAGGCATTCAGGCACTAGGCATGGAGGGCTGTGGGGATCTCTGGTCCTGTGACTTGACCACGGCCATGTGAGCAGGAATGGAATTCCAGGAGGTCAGAGCGGGGCCAGAGCAAGTGCTCCTGCCACATGAAAGCTTAGCTGACAACCAGAACTCAACAGGCCCAGTCCTTTACCTCAATCTCCCGGTCACAATGCCTGGATGTATGTTTGTTTTTTGTTGTTGTTGTGGGGTTTTTTTTTTTTTTTTTGAGAGGAATAGCTATTTTTATTTTAAAAAGCTGGAAAGTATCAAAGTAGGAAGAAGAAAAATCCAAATTCTCTCACCCTGTGACCATACTGTCAATATTTCCTTCCAGTCTTCTCTATGTGCATCAACTTTGGTTAGAAATCTTGATGTGCTCTAAAATCTTTTGTATTGAGATGCCATTCACATGCTATCATATTAACCCTTTAAAGTGAACAATTCAGGGCCTCCCCTGGTGGCACAGGGGTTGAGTGCTGGGCTGCAAAGCTGCCTGCAGCCTCTGCAGCGCTGGTTCGATCCCTGGCTGCCAGGCGATGGTCCCACATGGCACGCAGACCTCTCCTGCCGCGCCCACTGCTCCCCTCAGCAGTGTACTTCGTCAGTCTGCCTGTTCTGCTCCCCGCTCTGGCTCTGGTGAATTCTCTTACCCTCCCGGGCTTCTGACTATGCCCAGTGCTTGTATAAATAAATAAATCTTAAAAAAAAAAAAAAAGCGAACAATTCAGTGGTTTGAGTGTATTCAGAGTTGTGATTATCATCAATAATTTCAGAACATTTGCATCCTCCCCAAAGAAACGTATACCCATTAGCAGTCTCTCCTATTCTCCCCATCAAAACCACTTAATCTCCTTTCTGTCTTATGGCTGGGTCATTGCAGTAACTTCTTCCTGGTTTCCCTGCACCCACCCTTGCCCTCTTCAGCCCTTACTGCAGCCAGAGAGAACCTGCCAAAACCAAAGCAGATCACATCGCCCTCCTCCCTCCCAGAACCTTCTATGGCTCACACCTCACACAAGCATTAGAAGCAAATTTATGTCATGGCCTACACCTGTCCATGCAATCAGATCTCTGCTCCCTTTGACCTCATCTCCTCCATGCTCCCCCCTCACTTCCTTTGTTCCAGTCACACTGATCTGCTCCTGGGTCTTCAAACACATCAAGCATGTTCCTGCCTCAGGACCTTTGCATAGGGGGTTCCCTCTACCTAGAACATGCTTCTCCTAAATGTCTGCTAAACATTCCCTACCACACTTTCTATTGCCCTGCTTTCCTTTTCTTCATAACACATATTGATGACACATCTGTCTTTCTGGCCATTGTCTTCTCCCCCACCAAACTGACAGCTCTGTCGCTTGGTGTTTTGAGCATGGAGTGGCAGGTCATCCGAATATCTGGGATGTTTTCAATAAAAGCAGCAACATAAAAGGAGCAAGTGCAAAACTCAAGGGGCCCACAGAGCAGACGTTATAAACTGGCAGGCCTCCATCTGTGGACACGTGCACTTTAAATCATACTGTGCCTTTTGTTAATTGAGCCGGGAGAATATCACCTTAAAAATCCAAATTCTGACTTCTCTTAAAAACACAGATCTGGGCATCCAGGATCACACACCAGCATGACAACCATCAGCAGACACTGAGGGGCTATGCCTGGGTAATGGGATTTCCCACCCACTGGTCCTGCCTCTGGGGTGTGGGGCCAGGCTTGGAGAGGCAACCCCTTCCCAGGAGTGAGGCTGTGGGGTCTTGGGAAGTGAGTGCCTTGTCGCTCCTCAGTGATGTCCTAAATATGGCACCTGGAAAGAAGGCTCCTATGGTTGCTCCCTGGCATGTGGGTCCTCAGGGACCCTTGCCTCATTGCCTACTACCTTTACGCTCTAGCTATGCCAGCTATGGCACTTTCCCAGGCTCACCACCTTCTCTGCCGTTCTCTGTGCCTCCTTGTAACCTCACAGGTCGTCTGAGTGGGCCTCCCGTCCTGACAGCACCCTACACATACATCTCCCCTGTCTGACTGTGAGCTAAGGGAGGAGAGAGGTGGCACCAGCTTCATCCTAGCCTACCCAGCCCCTGGCAGTGCCCAGCCCACAGGGGACCCTCAGGAAGCTTTATTAAAGGTTTGAATGAATAGCATCCACCCCTGAGGGCTGGGAAGAACTAAGGGATAACACATGCACCTAGAAGGGGCCAATCCAGTGATGACGTATATGTGCTAATCACCTACTGCATGCTGGCATGCAGGGGCACAAAGATGGAGAACCTGGGGGCAGGCCTGTGTGGGGGTAGATCCCACATGTAGGCGGGAGGGCTGGAGCCAGGTACATTACTGCACACTGCAGGCGTGCGTGTTTGTGCTGAAAAGGAAGGCAGTAAGCAGTGTCTGCAGTGCTCCTAGGGCCTCAGTCTCCCCACCTGCACACAGGGCTCCCCTGCTTATCAGCCTTTCTGGCCCCATGGCTCAGTCCCGCCTCCCCACCCTGGAGAGGTTTTCCGGGTACTGCGGCCCTGCCTCCCCATCCATCAGGATTTTGCTGCATTCCTGTGAGTCATTCTCCAAACAAACCGGTGCGAGGGAGAGAGGGGAGCAGGGGAGGGGGAGAGAAGAGATTTGATGCAAACCTGGCCCTGCTTCCTCCTCCTCCAGCCTGCTCCCTGTCCACACCTCCTCCCATGCATACATGGGGCCCCCTACCAGGAGAGCTCTGGAGTAAGTCTAGTCAGCTTGTGCCATGGACTTGCTGTGTGACCTTGGACAAGGCCCTTGACCTCTCTGGAGCTCTGGAAATATAGGTCCCCGTGTATAGGACGCATGGACTCCCGAGCAGACTCTCATATGAAGCAGGGCATGAGGGAAAGTATGCTCCACGTAGCCTCTGCCCACTTCCTTGTCTCAGTTTTCCTACCTCTGGAACAAGGAAAGGACAGGTCCTTGGTAGGCACCAGGGACTGAGTAGAGGGGAGAAGGTGTACCTCAGCAGAGGGAAAATCATAAGTCCAGGCTAGACACCAGGCCAACACTGGGCCAGCAAGGTCTCCCACTGGAAGTCCCCATCGGCAGCACTGAGGCCCAAGCTGCAGAGGCATTGCCCCAGGGGACGGGTAGCAGGGGTAGGGGTGTCCTCTCTGATTCAGAGTCAGGGGCCAGGCCATGAGGAGGGTCTCTGGACAGATCCTAACCCTGGGGGATGAGATGCGGCTGAAAAAGGAGGAAAAATCCCTGCACCATCAGAGAGGAAGGACCCTCGGCTGTGGCTGTGTACGTGGTGCACGTGTGCGTGTGCATGCATGTGA